CTTCAGAAAAGTTGGGCGACAAGACCGCCACGTCAGTCTTTGGGCTGTTGGTCTCGAGGGTTACTATATTTGATAAGAATAACAGTTTATTAATATAAATTTTGATCTATTTTACATTTTGCACAACAAGTTTTGATTTTGGGCCTTTATTTGACTGGCAAGATAAGGATAATTGTCCCATGTGCCACTAATACATCCTACGACCGAGTTCACAAATCATGATACAGATCTCGGATTTAAAAATAGACATGTTTAGGTTTCTATGTCAACATCAAATCTCTCATAGCTGAATCTTTGTTTGAAATAATGAAAAACTTCAAAATTCCCCCTAAGAAGATAATGATAATAATATATCAAACTTCCAACTTAAAATGGAGGTTTAGTCAATCGTTTCGATCTTAAACTTGTACATGTTGTCAGTCATTGAGGACCTTTCTCTGATAATTGAAGAAAACACAACTAAATGCAATTTAACTTTCAGGATTCAAATTTTTAGTCGATTTGTTTGTGAACGTAAATCTTCACAATATTTTATGATTACGATCAATTTTGTGCAAATCATAAAAAGCGTGAAATTAATGTTAATGGATCTGAGCTCAATTAACAATAAAAGTAAATAAATATGAAGGCTAAACGCTCCCATTGATATCGTCCATATTATTAAACATCGAATCCACAAATCTGAAGTACATAGATATAACAACAATAATCATAGTTATTTAAAAATTAGAGGGATAAAGACGCTAGAGGGAGGGGAGGGAAAGAGAGAAACAGAGAGAGTGGGAGAGAGGGAGAGAGACAGACAGATGAGATGGAGAGTGAGGGATGAGACAGTAATGAAGGGAAGAAGAGAAGGTGGGGTGGGGGTTGTAGGTACAGTACCGGAAAAGCTTGTTTGTGTATGTGTGTGTGTGTGGAGGGGGGGGGGGGAGAGGGGTAAGGTTATCGAACATACGAAAGCTCTCAAGGTAAGGATAAAGAGATCAAGGTACTGTACACACTGGATACGACATAGAAGACAAGGGATACTATTGGGTCCCGTTAGAAGAAATGAGAAGAGATATTAAGAGAAAAACGATACCAATAAGAATGCAAAAATAACGATAAGTACTTCCTACCAAGTGAAAAAGAAGGACAAACAAAATTGTCTTTGGGGCGATTATCAATTAATTGATCACTCGATCACTCATTTTGATTCGTGCGAACTAAACAAGGTGACAACAATTAATAACCGGATGTTACCCGCGACAAAAAAATATCTATCACATCAAAGCGAATAATCCTTGCTATGTATACGAGTAAAAGTGAAAAATCCCATCTGCGATTGAGACCTAATTTCTCCTACGCAATTATTTTCTCCCACTGAGAATGAGATAACCCATCATCTTGTACAATCTTCTCATGTGAGAGAGATCGGGTGGGGGTGTTTATTCATACACCATAATTATTACTTTGTTAAAATATATGCGTATTTTTATTGTTTCTTTTGGACAGAGTCGCTGACCAGCTAAAAACTGCCTTTTTACAGATAATACTTTTCCATTTTTTCTTTATCATCACAGCATATCATACCTTATGCCAATGTTTTTCTTAAAAATGTATTTATGTTATGACTGTATACGTGTGGTTATGCGTGTATACAATTAAGACTCTCTTTATTGAAATGCGAATGGCATATTGGGAAGAAGTAAGTATGTATTATCGTGTGCCTGGCTTAAAGTATTAATATCTTAATGGAAGATGATAATCAAATTCATATTTTCTTCTTCGTTGCCATGTTCCCCAAGATCTTTCATTGAGATAATTGATCTAACTTTATGAGGCTGGCATTTTAACATAAGGTTTCACGAGAAAGCATCATGACGGCTCTCGACAGCAACAGCCCATGTGACACGTCCGTCTCACGGACCTTCTAATACCTTTTCAGAATGCTAACGAGACCGAAATTCTCGGTCCATGGGATATCGGTCTATTGGAATGTTCCCAAAATAGATTTAAGAAATCTTTGCGTCACTAACAATACTAGAAATACTTTAAGAAAACAAATTTGGCATGAATTCAAACAACCTTTTTGACGCTAACGGTCGAAAAGATTAATGACAAATGACCATGTGAGGTGTCAAATCTATGACCCGGTAGTCTTTGCTAATAACCCTTACCACATGACCTCGTATCGATCACTGTAAAAGAACGTTCTACTAACAGGCAACTAATTCATTCTACTACTTTTACCTGCCAATCTAGATCTTCGAAATTCACGAACATGGATTTGCGTTTGCAAAGACGCTTCCTTTTTCGAAGTCGAGAGTTAAAGTCTGAAAAAGGGGAAAACAAAAAAGTGCACACGAATACAAACAGAGAAATTGGTTAGTCTACCACATCGACAAAAAAATACACAAATATGGGTAAAGATCCCAAAGTGTTACCTGCCAGTCTAGGTCTTCGAAATTGACGAACAAATTCTTTCGTTTACATTGCCAATCGCTATTTAGAGATGATGCACTATCTGCATTTGAAAGGGTGAAACACAAAGATGAAATGGAAAAAAGAAATAAATAGGTGAAATGAGTTGGGGTAAATACATCAGCATACTAAATACTACGAAGGGGGAGAAATGGTTAAAATGTTCTAATAAAATCATAAATAAATGAAGGTCAAAAAACATCAGGATAACTACAGATTTGAATGATGTTGTAAACATGCGGAGAAAAATAAATAATATTTCTGAAAAAATAAGAAAAATTCAATGACTATCATGACTATACTAAGAAATGAGGTATTGTGATATAATTGGCAATAATGCATCGAAATATAGGTGAGCAATGGAAATGATTAAGATTCAATGAAAATAGACGATTTGCAACCAGTCTACATGAAAATAGCTGATATATCCATTATATGGCATAATCTTTAAAATGTAACTCAATTTCCTTGAATATGATATGCAATATCTATATAAAATTACACAGTTACAGAGATGTACGCTAAATTGTATATACAATTAATCATACTTATCATGGGAGGGGCTAAAACAAATTCATATCGTACAACAACTGAACACATTCATAAAAAACTTTGTCAATTATAGCAGGAAATTTATGTGATCATTGGTTACCTCGTGTGCTTTCTAACCTTGGACTCAATTTTATGAAAGAAGATTTTGATTTTACCTGGAAGTTTTATTCCTGAGATCAAATGACATTTCTCAAATCATTAGCTAAGGTGAATCAATAATTGATAAGGCAGGGGGGTGCAGAATCTTCGTAGGAGGGGTTTGTTGTCTTTAAAGGGGGAGGTGGTGAAACACAATCATTAAGGAGACAACGTAACAAATTCCATTCGCAATTAAATCTGAAGTTGGCCTACTAAAATTCAATGTGAAAATGATCTGGACACGTTTCTGGACTTCTCCTTATAATAGAAAATTTGTTATTTATTTATTGCAAACTTAAAATGTAAAGGCTGAAACTTTTAAAGTTTTTTACTTTCTTTTGAAAGAGAGCGGTGGTGTTTTAGGTGACATAAAAAAAACCTACCCCTGGAAGCGATGTCGTTATCTGTATCTGGTTTTCTTGGTCTCTTTCCGCCTTTCTTTTGTCGAGTCGCTGCTCGACGATTACGCCGGAGATGGGAGTTTGTCGCGATGACCTCCTCGTTGCGTTGGAAGAAGACCACCATGAAAGGCTCTCGACCCTCGTTATTGCCGACACCAACCACCCCTGCGTCCGTGGGATCGATGTTCAGACCTAACAACAGATGGGGAATGAGGTTGGGTGAAATGAGGATAAGTTGGATTAGTCATTTTCAAACAATGGCTTTCTGGCGTGGCGTGTGTCTATTTATTGTAGGGGCAAAACCTAGTGGTAGCGGTGACGACGACGACGACGATGATGATGGTGGTGATTATAATGATGATGATGATGATGATAATTAATGAATGATCGTAATGAATGATAGTAATTATGATGATGGTGATGACGATAAATGATGATGATTATGCCAACTGTGATGATGACTGATGATTATGGTGATGATGATGATGATGATGTTGAGAATGATAATAGACAGATGTTCAAAATTATGATTTGGTTGTTGATGATACTGATGATAAAGATGATGATGACTTTTATAATGAAAGTGTTGTTGTCGGTGGAATATAATAAAATAGTTTCAATGTCGCCGTTCATTACCAATGCACAATGAAATTATATAAAAACCTGCACTTCCATTGCAATGAAAGAAAAACATTTCTAAAAACAAACTTTAACGAGGTCGTATATGGCTTCCATCAGAGCAGATGTATTATCCCTAATTACAGTAACACATCAGAGGATATTACCTTGTTAACATGGCAGTGAAAAAACAAACAAGATAAAAAGCCGATCTATTAATAGGCAGTTATTGTCGGTCCTTCAATTTTTCGTTTAGGCGAAATATGAGTTTTCCATGAGAAACTTCATATCTTTATTTAAAAAAATATTTTTTAGGGGGCCACACCCGGCCCGTGCCCATTTATGAAACCATTGACATAAATTAGATACACAAGAAGAAACAAAATCCTTATTTATTATGCAGTTTTCTCGGCAGTGTGCACCCCTATTTATAAAATCGTGGATCCGTCACTGAAATATGAAGAAATCGTTCAAACCCAGTCCTAATTTTTGGAATTTAATATTAAGTTGTAAATTGTTTAAACCAGGGGCGGATCCAGGATTTGCCGATAGGGGGGGGGGGGGGGGGGGCCTAAAATGTGAAAATCGCGCCGACCAATATCTCGCTGAGTGGGGGGGGGGGGGGGTGGTAGTGAAATGTGAAAATCGAGCCTACCGATATCTCGCTCAGTGGGGGTGGGGTAGTATGCATAATTTTTTTTTTGGTATTTGACCCTGAAAACTTTTTTTTTTTTGTATTAAAAAAAAAAAAAAAAAAAAGGCCAGGGGGGGGGCGGGCCCGTCGGCCCCCCCCCCGTGGATCCGCGCCTGGTCTAAACAGCTACTACCGAATCGTTATAAGCATACCTTGTAAAGACTCAACACGGAGCTGAAGACCAACATTAGCCCCTGGGTAGGACCTCCATGTACTCGTAGCTGACGTCATATCAAAGACCAACCAGCCATGATCCCCTGCGCCAACAATGGTACTATCCAAATACACGGGTGACCTGGAACTACGACAGGAAACATAGAATAAAACGAGTTTAAGGTAAATGACTTCCTTCCTCTAAACATTATTATGAATTATATACCTCACTTAAGTAATCCAGCAATCTGATTGGTCGAAATTGCATTCATAAACTTTAACTGTTCCGAAAATTCCCGGTAACCATGGTTAAAAAACAGTTCAAAATCCCAATAACCATGGTTATTAGGAAAATAGGTCAGTCTCCATGGTTACCCCATAGGTTTACATGTTAAAAAATGGTCTGAGCGATCGAGGATACCGTACGTGTGCGAAGAATTGGTCGGTAATTTCAATACAATTGAATCTCGATCGATCTTACTGACAATTTTATCTTGCATTGTTGACATGAAGACGAAAATAAACTTCCAAAAACAAAAAAACAACGTCTGCCGATAGATCTTGATCTAAGTTCGTGCCAATATGCATTGCAAAAGTAAAAGAAGGGCCCGTTTAATGGAGCAGCGGCGAAGCATCGACCACGCGAAGCCGTTTTCAATTCATTTTAATGTATATATTAAAGAAAACTACTTTACATGGTGACAGAGCGCGCTGGCCGAGCGGATTAAGGCGCTGACTTTAGTAACTTCACCTTTGATACGCAAAAGTTCGAATCCCATCTTCGACAAAAGTTTTTTTTTTTTCGGCATATAAAAGTATTAATGACTACTTTAATATTCGAGAAATAGTTGTTTTTATACGCTCTCGGGAAGGTTACAATTGGGCTATTCCCTCGGCACGCCTCGGGTAATAGCACAATTCTAACCTTCCCTTGAGCGTATAAAAACAACTATTTCTCTCAAAGCAGTCATTAATACTATACTATATCATTCAAATTGATTTAGTATCTTAAAGTAACATTAATTTGGCTCAGAGTATTATCCATCGAAGCAGAAGCGGCGATCCGGGGGGAGGGGGGCACGCCCCCCTCAATTTTTTTGTATCGTCCCCCTCCCCCCGGAAAACACACTTTTAAGCTCTGGAGGCCGCAAGAGGTGTAGCATTTAAACTAATAAAAATGCAAAAATCTTCATTTTAAGAAAATCTTGCATTTCGCCCCCCCCCCTGTCATTAAAAGAAATCGCCGCCCCTGCACCGAAGGAACACTATAAAACATTAATTTTTTAATAACCACTTTATATTATTTAAATCAAGGGACCCCCACCCCCGGACATTTTTTTTTATCAAAGTTAACTTTAGTCATAGTTGTAAGTCAGTAACTGTACGATTGCAAACGGAAACGCATGGAATATAGATACATTCTCAATAGAATTTGCATTTCTTCATAAATAAGTCACATTGGGCGATAACCTCCCTCTATCCTCGTACGTAAACCAGGGTCCCGAATATGGATTGCAGAAACAGAGAATTTGGCCTCGTCATTGAATAGCCGAATTCGAAACTGCTAAAGACCTCGTCTTACAAGGAGTTACGAATAATCGGATAGTAATCCATCGCAAAGTTACAATCTCTAATTATGAGGCTGACAAAGATTGGTTCTAGATCTTTCAAAACAGGTCTTTCAATAATATTCTTTATAAAATCGTTATAAGAAATATGTAGTAACATAAAACACCCCTATAGACAAGTGTGGTAGTTAATTGTCGGTCACTATAAACAGATAATTGGTCTAATGAACGCGGGGGACATTCGAATGCTTACCCATCACTGCCTCGTTCTCTCAGCAGCAGAACATCGATTCGATACAAGGAGCTGCCTTGCCCCCGCGCGTCACGGAAGACGCGCAGCTCAGCTGACGTCACCGTCTCACCTTGGGGTATCCTGCCGATATCGAATCGGTACCGATGCGCTCCGTGTCTTGCGATTGCCGCGTCTTTGTAGTGGACTGCAGGAAAAAGATGAGACAGAAAAATGTTTTTATTCGTTTCATTCGATTTCATATACATGAAGTTTCACTGAAGGAAACACAGGACAAAGTATCTTTGTATTGGACTGTCGAAAGAAGAGAAAAGTGAGATGATATGAGAGAGAGAGAGAGAGAGAGAGAGAGAAGGCGGGGGGGGGGGGGAGAAAGAAAGAGAGAGGGAGAGAGAGATAGACATAGAAAGGGGATAGGGGATGGACAAACTAAAATATAGAAAAGGGGGAAGAGGACGATAAGGTAAAAATTTACATGATAAGGAAGAGCATTGGGGAAAAAGTTTCAAAAAAGTTTCAAAAAAGTTCTACTCTAATAAACGATAAATCAAAACTCAAATAGAAAAATTCGCATCAGATAATGCTACCAAAAATAGGTCTGACATTTCTAACGAAGGTAAAACCTCTCATGGGTGGACCTCGTCAGTGATTCTGCGTCCTTGTAAAGTTGGTGGCGCTATTTATGTCCCAGTGTCCTTTAAAAATGTAATAACTGCGCTGAAGTAACATCACATGTTGGCAAACAAAGTTTAGAGGTAAATATTAGAAATACATTAATGAACCATATACCTATGCTTTTCCTTCCGGTCATTTAAAAGTACATAATAATTATTTCAACTTTCCTTTCTCCACATTGAGTACCAATCATCAGTGATGTTTTTGCTTGTAATAAGATTATTTCAGTGATTATATTGCTATTGCTGAAAGCTACAACAGGTCCTGTCATCATGTTAAGGAAAGTACAAACATGATGTGATATGACCCGGATTGGTCCATTATTTGCAAACTGCTCGCACGAAACATTCAATGTGTGCATTTTAACAACCAACTTAAGTATGGGCATATCATTTGCCAGTGTCCTTCTGTGTGAATGTCGCAATAGTAAACATGACATTAAAAGATTGAGGTATCTTTGTTCGACTCACACTGTTCAATGCTACATGAAATTGCCTTTGAGCTGCTCTGCTTACATAACTACACTCAAGGCCCATCATGCCCATTATAGCTTTAAGCACAAGTTGTTATTGTTTGTCCATCCTGTTCGACGCATCATTCCAATCAGATAGAAATACATTGAGCAGCAAAGCCCTACATTTATCAAACTCTATTATGGGATGTTAAATTGGAATGTGAATCTGTATGGCAAATTGCCTTTCCGAATGCAATAACAGCCTCTTCCTCCGTCTCCCTAGTTACCAACTTCAACCCCTTAGCAACATAAATTCAATATGGCGGCATCCATCCTTAGATTACATGGTGTGGGAAGAAACAGTGGGGATGTGAAGATCTTTTTTTCATTCAAGACAAATTTTTCAGAACTTCTTTGATGGTCAGCTTTATTCAAATCGTAAATTGTATCCGGAGCTAATTATAGGTTTGCTTTCAAGCACACAAACGTGCTAATCAGAAAGTAAATTATAACATAACCGACTATTGTCTCGCATTCGAAGCTCATTATTCAATTACATTATTATCATATGCGCTAATTTGTTATCGATAATTTCACTTCAATCTGAGTTCGCCCCCAAATTGGTTCAATAGGTCTATCATGGTTAATATTATGCTAGCTTTAGATATAATTGGCGTTCTTTTCCCCTTCCTCTTTCTCTTTCTTTGCCTGCAGTTGATTTCAAACTTTCTTCCTGTCTGTTTGTCTTTCTGACTTTCTCTAAGGTCTTATATAATTCTATCTAAATTACATGTATTTATTCATCTCTCCCTCTTCTTTCTCTCTTCTCTAGCATTCCATCTTTCTGTCTCTCATCTATCTAGCTAGTTAGCTATCTGGACGTTATCTACAATTGTCTATCAATTTATCTCACCCTCTTGATCATTGTCGATCTCTTTTATTATCTCTTCCCTCCCTCCCTCTCTCCTCGCTCTATCTTCCTCCCAATCCCACTTTCCTTTCGATTCGGCTAAACCCTCTTGCTCCTCCTTTCACCAAGTCAGAAGCTATCGGTTTCATCCCATGAGGTCAACCGGCCCGGGCCCCGGTCTCTAATGATGAAATGGATACCCACTCAATAATATCCGACGAAATCCCAAGCTGTTTCAAAGCGTCTTTTTCTCGTGTCCGAACGAATTTTGATTTACCTCAAGTTCAAGAATAGCCCATAAACTTTTCAACTCCCATTTCTATCCAATTCTATCCTGGTATGTTTTTCGCTTTACATTTAATACCTGTAGGCAGCGCAATCACTGTGCAATCGTATAGGCCTAGATCCAAAATATAAACCGGTAAAATTTGATAGCATCGTCCTCTTCGAGCATGCGTTCTTGGCGACAAAATCGAGCTGTTATGTCGATGTAGAACTAGAAGGTATTGTTGAATAAACGAACAGGGATATCCCCCAAACACAAGACTTTAATTTGAGAGATCGATATATAACAAAGGAATAATTTATTTTCACATTTTCATAGGCTTTAGGTCTATTTTGTAAGTTGTAAAAGGGGGCGGGGGCGGAATGTATTTCGGCAGGTGAAGACGCACTGCAAGTAAAACGATTTGTATGTTAAGGGAGGAGGGGGTGGGGCATTTATCGGCTACATTATATTATGGATACACCATACTATCTATTAAATTCGAAATGTTAACAGACAATGACATCATCAGTCGATGGACAACAGTACGTATAGATTCCCACTTGAAATCCCAAACAGCCGATCAGACCATGGAGTTAAAAGCTAATTTAGAAACTCCATGATCAGACTCAAAGAAAGAGAGTACAATTTTATGCTGCCTATTTGTTTGCTCCATGATCTTTTGTGTTTTAATATCAAAATGTCGAGCGAGCAAAAGTTTCGGTTATCAATCTCTTTTCATATAGCCTTCTCCATTCTCAATCCTGTATTTCTTCTTCCTCATCTTTTTCATAGTTTGATTCTTCGTGAAATATTCCAATCAATATGTAAACAAAGGCCTATCAGATTCCACTTTTTTCTCTCTATTGTGACATATTTTTATCATCTTGAATATTTTAATTCTGTAGTTTCTTCATCATTCCATCTTCTATTTCTTTCATTTCGTTCTGATCAATCTTCATTAAAACCTTGTGCGACTAATAATCCCTTTTTTCTTTCTTCTACATATTATCCATGAAAAATAGAGGACGCTGACCCACAGTTACGTAATCCTCTCACTGTGATCGCGTACATTATGACCCTGACTCTTGCAAGTTATCAAAATATTTACGTCTCTCCCTCAAGCATTGGCTGAAAAATGAAAAGAAAAACCTTAGCAAGTTCTCCCCGTCTAGAAGCCTCCATTGTTACCCGATTTTGAACAGCATCCATGGATGAAAAAGGGAAACCTAACTGTGCCTGAAGCGAGTGATTCGGTTACCCTGCACCGGTGAGAGCGATTTGGTTACAATTGTAACGTCTGTTATCCAACGGGTAGATAAAGGAAACCTAGCAAAGACCTTGCCTTGGAGAAAACCGAGGAATAACAGTTTATGGAACGGAAGGAATCCGCAAGAATCCGCTGTTTGAATATTTTCTTGAGGCTCTAAAGAGTCGCAGTGGGACTTCACATGAGTATGATTCTTGAAAGTACATGTCTGGAAACGCAGGTATCCCCTGGTACTACAGGGGTGTTTCACAAAGATCCTAAGTCGAACTTAACTCTAAGCTGGACTTTAAACTTATGGAGAGCCATTTGTAGCCTTAAAAGAAATATATTCAAAAGCGAAAAATTGAAGAATTTTAGACTTTTTATAAATTTCCAAATCAAGAACATGAAATTTCCTTGATAATAGAAATTGTGAAAGATTTGAACCAACATTTTTTGCCTTTTGAAATAACTCTTACACGATGTTTTCATAGATGGCAACGGCTTTCCATAATTATTAAGTCCAACTTAGAGATAAGTTAAACTTAGGATCTTTGTGAAACACCCCTGGACTGGTATGGCTTAAAGAGCTCATATCGCTTTTACTTTGAGACTGGAAATGTTTAACCGAGTTCACCTTTCGTTCAAAATAATAATAAATCGTTGAATTTAATATATAGTAAATTAACTAAGTAAATACCATTAACAATTTCCTTATGGAGAACACCCCCATCCAGACATACCAGACTCGTTGCTCTTGCTTTGTACGCCCCTCCTCATCGGTAAGTTGATATGCCACTGTCACTTTGTTAATAATAAGACTGTAAATGCCATATTCAATGAACGGTGTCTTTGCAGTGAAGAATACCTCTCAATGACCACGCCCATAAACCACAAATGGTGATAAAGTACTTCTTAGTCAACATGATTCTTGGTCAAATTTAATATTTCCTTCCATATATACCAACCCTGACAACTTCACTCAGACTAAGCATTTGTCCGAAGGTGACGGGGACAACAATTTTCGAGGGCAGTTGTCCGGGGGGGGGGGTTCCTTGGATATAATTGTCCTGGATAGATGTCCGGACGACATTCCAAACTGAAGGCGCCTGGGTACACATCAATAGTCAATGATTACGATATGGAGAACTGCATGTACATGCTCACTACAAATAGGGGAGTGGAGACACCTTTGTTCAAATCCTACAACTGATACTGTTTCTTACTTTTTCATATGATTTTTTTTTTTAATTTAAATTTTTAATATCATGTTTTATATGAACTGACGCCTAGATAATAATAATTGAGCTGTACTCATAAGAAGTTATGAACTAAACACAACTCCTTGAAATACTTGAAGCATCAAGTGGTGTGGACGCGGCTAGGTGGAGAATGAAGGTGCATTATTGCAGTAGACAGTGTCTAATTGCAAGTGCCTGGGGCAAGTTTCACATGTGCCTTTACAGCATGTCTCAGCTGCACGAATCGAATGATGTCTTCATCATCACTTCGATGACACAGGTGAGGGGGGCTGGGGGCTGTATCATACCTGCTGTCAGGAGTGGTGATCCCGGGGGCACACGTTTAGGGGGACACGTTCCCCCTAAAAAAAATCGTCCCCCAGAGAAATTGAA